ATGGGGCTTTAGCCCCCAACTCACACATCCGGGAGAAGTCCAGACCAGGCTGCAGCCTCTTTTTCGCAATCTATTTATTTTTAGTATTGATCCAATAGACATTTTTCAAGAGTATTTACTTATTTGGCTGGGTCGGGTCTTAGCTGTGGCACACAGGAGCTTTGCTGCATCGTGCAGGACCTTTTGTTGTGATTCCTTGACTCTCTAGTTGTGGTTCATGGGCTCAGGAGTCTGGCACAAGGATTTATTTGCTCCACAGCATGTGGGATCTTAGTTCCCCTACCAGGGCTTGAACCTGCGTCCCCTGCATTGCAGGGTGGATTCTTAAGTACTGAACAACCAAGAAAGTCCTTGCAATCTGTAATTTTTTTTTTTTTACAAGTTTTCTTACGGGTTATCTTTTTCACCCACTTGCTTCCTGCCATATTCCTGGGGCCTGACACGTAGCAGATGCTCAAGAAACATTTGCTGACTGAGACGGAATGAAGAGGTGGCCATATCATCAGGCCACATGGGAGAGATTAGCCAAGTCCCACCTTTGCTATTAAACCGATGGCCTGGTTCATGGGACAGGATACCCTGCGTCATCTGACTGCAGGTGTGGTGGACCTGGACTGATTTATGTTGCTCCTTAGGTCCACTTCCTTCTCCTCCCTGGAGTCGCCTCATCCCCTCCCAAGGTGACCAGCTGTTCCTCGGCCCTAAGCCTCCTGGTCGGCTGCTGTCTGCCCTGCACACTGCCCCTCCAGGTAAGGCCCGCTGGGGAACACGTCCCCTCTCCCTGGAGGCACTGATCCCCCCTGGGAAGGGCTTGCAGGCTGTACTCCCAGACATTTTTGGTGTTTTGGCTGTGCTGGGTCTTTGGGGCTGTGCATGGGCTTTCTCTAGTTGCGGCGAGCAGGGTCTCCTCACTAGATGTGGTGTGCGGGCTTCTCACTGTGGTGTTTTGTTGCAGAACACGGGCTCTAGGCACACGACTTCAGCAGTCGCCGCTCAGGCTCTGCAGTTTTGTGGTGCCCCAGGCTTAGTTGTTTCACGTGGGCTCTTGGTTGAACCTGTGCCCCTTGCACTGGCAGGGAGAGTCCTACCCACGGCACTGGACCACCAGGGAAGTCCCTCCAAGGGTCTTTCCGGGCACCGGGTGCACCAGAGGTGGAGCGGGTGTGGGCAGTTCTGATTGACTTGCTAAACCGGGAGGAGCTGCATTTCTCTGTTTCTGTCAAGCTGTCTCTTGCTGGCAAAGCTCTGGCTTAGAACCCCCACTGCTTCTTGGCCCCCATCAGCACCCTAGACCCCTTCCTCTTTCCTACCCCATCCCGTGGGGAGAGGACCTGAGTTGTGGGGAGAAGGGGGTGGATATTGTTCTGTTTATCTGATCTTTATGGTGTCCCAGCATCATGGCATTTTTCAATTCCTTTCTGGGAAAAATATCTCAGGTTCCACTGGGGTGGAATCTCAGCCCTGGCCTCCCCAACCCCCATCCCCCAATCCAGGCTCCTCCTCCCTGACAAGGGCCTCTGTGCCTCCTAGGAGGAGCTGCTATAAACCCAGGACAAACGACTATATTCATTTTAAGTGCATTTCCACACGCTAACCTTCTGTGCATGGCCCCAAACCCCAGCTGCACAAAGTAGGTTGTGGTCAGAGTTCAGCCTCCTTCCTGCTCCTGCTCGGGGTTCTTTCCCCAAAGGTTTGTCTTTTGGGTCTCTTTCCAGAAACTCTGGTGTGAACATGTAATTCTACATCCCACTCCCTTTTCATCACCTGAGGCCACCTGCCAGCTCCTCCATCCCACACCTGGAGGGTTATGCCAGCTATGCCCAACAGAAGTAGCCCACCAGCCATCAGAGTCTTCTTGAATTTTTTTGGCTGCGCTGCACAGCATGTCCTATCTTTTTGCCTTTTCATACTGTTCATGGGGTTCTCAAGGCAAGAATACTGAAGTGGTTTGCCATTCCCTTCTCCAGTGGACCACATTCTGTCAGAACTCTCCACCATGGCCCGTCCGTCTTGGGTGGCCCCACACAGCATGGCTTAGTTTCACTGAGTTAGACAAGGCTGTGGCCCACTAGTTTAGCCGGTCTACAAAACTAGGTTGGTTAGTTTAACCAGTTAGCCAAAACTAGATTGGCTAGTTTTCTGTGATTATGGTTTCAGCGTGTCTGCCCTCTGACGCCCTCTTGCAATACCTACGGTCTTACTTGGGTTTCTCTTACCTTGGACGTGGAGTGTCTCTTCACGGCTGCTCCAGCAAAGCGCAGCCGCTGCTGCTTATCTTGGATGAGGTATCTCCTCACGGCCGCCCCTCCTGACCTTGAACATGGAGTAGCTCCTCTTAGCCCTCCTGCGCCCGTGCAGCAGTATGATAAGGCAAAAAGATGGAATACTGAAAGATGAATTCCCCAGGTCGGTAGGTGCCCAATATGCTACTGGAGATCAGTGGAGAAATAACTCCAGAAAGAATGAAGGGATGGAGCCAAAGCAAAAACAACACCCAGTTGTGGATGGGACTGGTGATGGAAGCAAGGTCCGATGCTGTAAAGAGCAATATTGCATAGGAACCTGGAATGTCAGGTCCATGAATCAAGGCAAATTGGAAGTGGTCAAACAGGAGATGGCAAGAGTGAA